TTCTCTCTAGGAAGGCGTTGCCCCTCTTTATGGACGAGATTAGGGTTATAAAGAAGTCTTAGATGCGTTACCATAAGTGTTTGATTCAAATAAGGAAACCAGAAAATTCGCGCCCAGAATGAACCATGCGACTGCATGGTATAAATCCATGCGACTGCATGGTTATGCAAAATTTTCACTGTTCATCCCCGGTAGATGCTTGCGCGACTACATGGACTTTCTACCATGCGACTGCATGGTAGAAATTATTTCTCCTTTGATTTTCTTTGGTCTCCAAGTTTGTTTCATCCACCTTTTGGCCTTGATTCATTCTCCTTCTTCTTCTAACATCCCATGATATCACAATGTGTTATTTAGCTCAATTCCATGCTTGATTCGCCATTTGGATCATCTTTTGAATAATTGAATTTTGGTCCTCAGAGTTTCATATTCTTCCATTTTGGTCATTTTTTGTTCATTTTCTCATACTCTTCATTCCATCCATCAATGTAATCCTATAAACACAAATTATATCGAATTAAGTCATATTTCAACATATAGATCAATAATTTTCCATATTTTGTGACCTAAATAAGTGTGCAAAACACACTTATCAATAGCGAATACATTTATTGGGCAGAATTCCGACTTACGGAATGAACGGAATTAAACAGAATGATAATGGTCAAAGCAAGAGTTCGACTTTATCTCTCTAAGATGGTAATGTCTCGCATTGGTGCTGACAGTCTTTTGGCACTCGTCTCTCAAGATGCAACGACCTCGATTTGTACTCCAAATTACAAGATTTGATGAACCTACTAATGTTTTGATCTCTCTAGAATTAGGACTGAAAAATGCTATTAAAATAATGCCATTTGTAGCCTTAAATATGGAGAGCAGTAAGACAATTCAACTTAGACTATGTTTGGGCGTGATGGCTCATAACTTATAAGAGAAAAAATACAGCTAACACGTCCTNTGATGGCTCATAACTTATAAGAGAAAAAATACAGCTAACACGTCCTAAACATCTCAAAAATTATCACCAATTTGTTCAAATGTTTTTATATACTCTACTCTACAACCACATAACATGAACGGAGCTTGTTTGGCTAAGCCTAAACAAAGTCCAGTCATTTTTAGACCCTGTTTGATTCTATTTTTGGGTAAAATGTATTATAAAATAGTGATTTTTTAAAGAATGTGTGGTTAAAAAGTAGAATTTTTTTTTAAAAAATACATGTATAACTATTTTATGGGAGAATGCGGTTGAAAATGAGTTTCGATTTATTCTTGAAAAAATTGAGCTCAAACGGGGGCTTAATTCCAAATAGTTTTATTTAATAATTTATTTTTCTATTACTTTAAATAAAATCTACAATTTTTTTTCAGAAAGTAATTCTTTTTTTATAATTAAAAGATGTACTTATTTCTAACTTTTACTAATAGAATAATTTATTTTAAAAAGTATTATTTGCTTATAAATAAATTTACTGATAAGTAAACTTTCAAGCTTAGCTGTTGATTATTACAAAGAGTCTCAGACTGGAAAAGTCGTGATATTCATTTGCAGCGTGGAGTTTTATTGGGTTATCCAACTGAAGAAACGC